GTCGGGCATAGCCCGTATCGGGCATAGCCCGTATCGGGCATAGCCCGTATCGGGCATAGCCCGTATCGGGCATAGCCCGTATCGGGCATAGCCCGTATCGGGCATAGCCCGTATCGGGCATAGCCCGTATCGGGCATAGCCCGTATCGGGCATAGCCCGTATCGGGCATAGCCCGTATCGGGCATAGCCCGTATCGGGCATAGCCCGTATCGGGCATAGCCCGTATCGGGCATAGCCCGTATCGGGCATAGCCCGTATCGGGCATAGCCCGTATCGGGCATAGCCCGTATCGGGCATAGCCCGTATCGGGCATAGCCCGTATCGGGCATAGCCCGTATCGGGCATAGCCCGTATCGGGCATAGCCCGTATCGGGCATAGCCCGTATCGGGCATAGCCCGTATCGGGCATAGCCCGTATCGGGCATAGCCCGTATCGGGCATAGCCCGTATCGGGCATAGCCCGTATCGGGCATAGCCCGTATCGGGCATAGCCCGTGTCGGGCATAGCCTGTGTCGGGCATAGCCCGTATCGGTCATGGCCCATGTCGGGTGTAGCCCGTATGGGGCATAGCCCGTATTAGATGATCCGGCATATCCTGAATCCAAATTTCTAAATTCGAGTTCTGTCCAAATCCTAAAATTCTGAAATTTGCGAATATCTCTAACATTGATTACGCTTAACGAACGAAACGCATAAAACCTACCTGTCTATAATTGCTAGCACGTAAGTAAGAAATTACTGTGATTTCCACGTTCCTACAAAGCGGTTCTCGTTAAAATCGTTGCCGTTTCCGCTTCGTTTTAGCCAGAATTAAGCGTCCTGTTGGTGACGTAATTCGCGTTAAGTTCCCTCGTTTTTCGGATCGATCCGACGACGAATCAGGGCGCAGTTAGCTAATGCGGGCTTGTGTTGGCACAGCCCCCGAGGGGGTGGCTCGTTGTTCCACTGGCGTAGTCAGGGGTGAGTCGTGGCCGTGGCAACGATCCACGGAAACGCGAGCTTGGATCAGACTTTTCTTACACTCACACATGTATACACACGCCAAACTTCCAATTTTCTTTCGAAAATTGCTCCCTCGCTGCATGTTTGTTTCTTCATAAACAATTTTATTTTCTACCTTTTCCCTTTCTTTCTTCCACTATACCAATTTGTTGTTTGTCCATATAATTTGCTAATTTATTCTCTGTACGCGTTACATAATATATTTCTTGTCCCTCTTCTTCAAAATACATCTTCTTATGTTTCTTTTCTTTCGCGTGTTTTTTCTACGGGAATAGAATAATAATTAAGGCTAGAAACAATATAATAATCAAACGTAGACCAACAGTTCCCAAGGAGTTAGCGATTCGACAATTTTTAAGGATATTTTTTAACATAACAACGACACAATCGATTCTGAAAACCCACCCCTTTAACTTCGATAGACAAGAATTTTTTCTCCAGTGGAAAAAGCTTGCCGTTGAAGGTACGAAAACTCCGCGGCTCTAATTTCCAGCCGGGGGTGGCTTTTGCCGCAATTAATTTCCCGGGAATCCAATTAATTCCTCGCCGCCAGCCAATGAACTAACGTTGTTTGCCGAAGAAAACGTTGTCTCCGGGATCGTCGTGCTAAAACCACCAAGGGGGAGGAAGAGAAACTCGCGAAGGGGGGATGAAAACGATGGCGAGAGAATAGAGTCGCCTCTGAAAGATCGTTGAGGAGCATAAAGGAAGGGTGGTACAGGGGCGCAGATAAAATTACATTATCGCCTAAAGCGTCCTCGACGAAGGAGAAAGGGAGAAAGAGGGAGGAGAAAACCGGGGTGAAAATCACGTCCCGTAATTCCCGGGCATTAAGGTAAACGTTCAAGTCGCAGGGCGCAGGTTCGGTCGCCATGGAAACTGACACCCTCTTCCTACCACCCTGGCTCCCTTTCAATCGATAACTTATGAAACCATCCTCGCCAACCCTCCGCGACCCTCTCCGCATCCAACTGGTCCTCCTACCGGATGCTGGATACCGTTTCCCGCGATGGCGACCCCGCGCCACCACGATCGAACCATTTTTCTACGCGCTTCCTTTCCAGGCTAAGGGGTTGTTTGTAGGACACACGATATTTTCGCGATCGTTGTACCGATTTATTAATTCCGATTGGTTCGAGCGAGTTTGATTTAAATGCAGACTGTTAGGAAATATTAAATAAAAGCTTGTGAAGTTTTCCTGTTATGCAAGGTAGTAATTATTGATTATTTTTAATTCACGAAAGAGATGATGTTTGTTAATAACATAAAACTTTAAGGTGAAAATAGAGAGACGATTTTAAGCGCGAGCAAGTGGAATTTTATTTCCATGGACAACTGTTATGAAATGTTAGATACATACAACTTCTTGGACCTTATTCTTTATACCATTTGTCGTTAGGATTGTGATTTGTGACGTTTTTTAAATTCATGAAACAAATGGATAAGATTTGTTAATAGCGTGAAAATCAGGCTAGATAAGAGAGAGATAACTTTACGTGTAAGTAGAACGAGACAATGGCTACGATCTCTCGATGAAAGACTCTGTTGAAAGATTAAAGGATCTTTTTCAAGTATTCAAAGATTAGTAAGATGCAGATAATTGAATAAATTTTTAAGATTTGGTCTTGAGACAAAGTGGAGAATGTAGAATTTGGATTTTTTTTAAAATTCATGATTTAAATAAAAGACAAAAGTAGATTACCTACTTAAATTAAGATTCATTTAATTAAAATACTTTATCAGTATAAGATATCAAATATTACGACATGTTAAAGATCCAACAGAAAAATTGTCCCCTATTTCTAATTTAGCTTCACATTAGACTTCCAAAAATATAAAATGAAGAATAATCCTTTAAAAAAGACTCGTGCTCACTAGAATTTCCATCCTATAAAATCTCAAACCCTAAACATCTTGCGAATTTAATAGAAAATTTCTTCTCTGCTCTAATAAATTCTACATCGTGTTAAACTTCCTTTTATATTATTTTATATCATCAAAATTCCAACTTCATCTCAGCGTTATTGTAAAATTTCATACAATTGCACCATCGCTGAAAAATTCACCAAATGAAAAAACCAATGGAAGAATCAACGAGTCATCTTCCGCGGAAGACAAGGAAACAGAGTTCCTTTCAATATTTCATTATAAATTATCAGAATTAGCTGCACGAAATAGTTTACGCGAAATCCTCGCGAGCGAATTTCGCGGTTGTAACGGGACAGAAGATCCATCTCCACGGCGGAACTTGTTTATTCTTCATGACGAATGATCGGCGACATTAACTGCGAACGATCTAACCGCCGGCCCACCATTTGTCGGCCGGTAATGCGTACGATCGATTAATTAAATCCGGCCAACCGGCGACCGTATCGCGCCTGGAATCATCCCCTAAACGCCGGGCCAATCAGAGCAAGGGCTCACCAGGGGTTAGCCACCCTCGCCACCAGAAAAACCAAAACCATTAACGTCCGACCAGACGATCGTCTTTAAATCGTTCATACCCTTCATCCCCCCATTCGTTCGACACGTGTTCCTGTAATTCCTCTATGAGAAAATTGTAACTGGCTGACTTGTCATCCTTTTTTAATATCCTTTGTTCATATCGACATTTGACTATTTTTCAAACGTTGAGTCGAGACTAGAATTTTACAGATATACTAAATACAAATTTTTCATACTCGAAGGAAAAATCAATATTTAACGAAAATCGCACGCGTTCTTTAATCTTCAAATTCTTCATTCACAAATATTTCTTCGATCAATAAAGGCAGAAACTTTGTTGAATTTCTACGGATTGTTCGTTCGTTCGATCATTTCTAAATTCCTTGGAACATCTTTCAACAAAATTCTACTTCGCAGTTACAATTCGAGTTTGATTCTCAACAAAAATTCAGGTTACGAATATTCTCCTATCTTCGACGAAATCTTTCGACTATTGCAACGATTCTCATTCAAAGCTACTTCTTCCTTGGCTCTCAAAAAAATCATCGAAAAACCTCACTTTCCTATCCTACTAGGTACACAAATGAATAATCCAAATTTTTCAGCGAGACTAAAAGTTTCTCTAAAATGAAAAAAAATATCGCGTTGTTCGATCAAAGTATTTGTCGCTTTTTATTACTGTAAGTCATCTATTAAGGGAACCAATGGAGGAACCAATCGTCACTGACAAAGGAGGACGTTCAGTGAAGTAGCTGCGTGACGATGTTAGGCTACATACCGCTTCTACGAAGGAAAAACGTCATAATGAGTCTCGTTTGAGGTGTCTTCCATCTTATTCATCTTATTCGCTAGAAATTACTCTCTCAGATTGCTACCTGCTCGGATCGATGTAACACCGAGCCATTTATCCGACCACCATTTGCAATTAATGAATCAGGAACAAAGATAACTCGACGATTGGATTTCGTTTAAAGACGCAGTATTTTTCCGTAATGAAGTTCGTCGCTCGTCCGATAAATGGCTTAACAAACAAACGATCTTAATTCAACAACTTGCTGTACTTTTTTTTTCTAAATACACTAAGTTTCACTGAAAAATTTGGATTACTCGCTTGTACACCCGATGCTTAATTCTTGAGAAAATTCCATTACGAATATTCTTCGATTCTCTGCAAAATCTTCGGTACATGTACGCGTAACAATTTCCAATCGCGTCTTTCTCCTGGGTTCCAACCATCTCCACCATTGTCTGCTGCAATTATCGTTAGCAGCGCGATTCGCGAGCAACGTCTATCGCGAAATTGAGGCGTCAGCTTTATAGTCTTCGGCGGCGGAATAGCTGAGAGGCCCGCGAAATAAGACGCGAGAACCGGAGGAGCGATGGAGGAGGAAGAAAGATGGTGGCGGGTAAAGAGAAAGACGGGTTCCTGGTCCGGGTTATATGGAGTTCGGAGAATTTTAACAAGACGGGCTCGCGTCGCCCTGGGCGAGGAATCCCCTAACGAGAAAGGGCACTTCTCCCCTCAAAAATAATGAAGTCTTCAAGCCGCGTTCCCACAGCCTCCCCGAGGGTGTAATGTTGCGCTTTTATGCAACTCGTCTCCTAGTCGAATCGCTGGTGAACACATTCGGCTCAAACACTTTTGCCGCCTCGGCAAAAACTGGATACCTCTTACACACTTTGCTTTGTATTTTCGAGAAAATTGATACAGCCTGCAGTGGTGTACATTCAAGGGGCGTTTTGTTGCGATTTCATTCTTAAATAGAGTCTCTCTTGTTTGAGAAATTATAATGTCTAGTCTGGAATTAATCGTGTTCAAGTATACTCGATAAATTTTCAAACTCGATTTTCTCGTAAACTAAGTCTTAAATGAACAAATTTTATCTGGTATTTTGTTCTTATTTTTTCATAAGGAATCACCTCGTGTCCGCTTGTACATGTTATTTGGCCGCATCCTGTGTATTCTTTATCCCCGCCTGCCTCTCGGATCGACGGCGATTTCCAGTTACACGTGCAGAATAAATCAGAGGAGTAATCGTAAACAAAAAATACACAATAACAATAACCATAACTTAACCTAAACTCAATTAACTATAGAAACAGCTACCTACATTTATCCTTATAGTCAATATTATTATCATAATCCTTATTATCATAATCCTTATTAATCCATATTAATATACCTATTTCTGTATAGATACTTTATGATGGCTATCGAGAGAGATTAAACAACCTGCTGTGCGATAGGATTATTAACACCTTAGAAAGGTAGAAACGAAGGGAATAATTTGTAACTGAACAGAGTGATTACTTAACAGTCGTCACGATTTGTCAGATACTTAATATCACTGCGTTAACAAATTTTGTACTATTAAAAATACTTCACTAGATATCTCTTCAATATCAAATTTCCCAATTTTTACGATATTCAAACTTCAAGTCATCTCAATTGCCAAGTAATTCTTAAATAATTCTTCCATCCTGCCAATTTAACTTTTCTTCAAACTCACTTCGAACTCTCGACTAACTCTACAATTTCACGATTCTACGCGTAACCTGATAATTCACGAATTACCGGAAGGTAAAATCTTCGTAGTTCGTGGACATCAAAATAACATAAGTACACGCATTCCGAGTCTGCAAATCAAATCAAATCCAACTACCAAGATTCCACCCGATGTCCAAAATTACCTGAGCATCAGAGCATCGCACGAACAACTACCTTTAAAACGGCGGTGATAAAGAAGAGCCGAGTAAATAACAGAGAGACTAGAGCCAGGCAACCGGACTTAATTCGACTTAATGCCGGGTTAATCCAGCTGACCTTTGGCGGACGAGTCGTGATTTAAGGCGACGATTGGCCGTCGGCTAATTGGCGGCCTTGTCTTCCATCAGGGTGAAACGCTGATAAATACAGCCAGTAATCCCATCGGGAAGAATGGGTACGAGCATCGCGAAACAAGGTGAAAGGAACCGGTGCAAGAGAACGAAGAAAGACGAAAAATGGACAAGGACGGCGCACAAGGCTCGTTTTCATTAAGCTCGCCTAAACTGCCATCAATTTCGCCACGATGAAAGTCGGGCCCGTCCCTATTCGACACGCATTTTCGCACCATTTGTATGGATATACAGACGATCCGCGCGCTGCCTAATTAAATCAACCAGGAATTCCTGGTATTTATTGGGATTTCATGTAAATCAGCCTGGTCAGCTATAGAGAGTGGTTTTTTCAATGGCAGCCTGGCGCGTGACTCTTTGATCTCTCTCTTTCTCAAAGGAGTTGGCTTCCTTTTTTCCTCGTTTCTGACTATAATGTCTCTTCTTCACGTTTTATTGCATCTCTTTCTTTTTTTCTTCTTCTCCATGATTTTATTGAATATTTTTCTTCACTTCTTTAAGGAGTATACTTCTCCTTCTTGATTTTAATTGGTTCTTTTTACTAGTTTTTTTATGGACAAATTTCTTTTTATCGCTGGATACTAAACATATATAATATTCAAGTTTATAAAAAGTTAGATAAATGCTAGCTAAGAGCTAATATGTAATATAGATACGTAGGTGTGCGAGGAATCTTAACAGAAGTTACTTCGTAAGAATCATTTTTCTATGAATCTCGGAGTAGGTAAACCTACAATTCCTTCGCCCTCCAAGAAGGGTTCAATAAAACCTCCACAATTTATCTTCAAAACAAAACCGAACGAAAAAAAAAATAACAGCGAAAATATCATCCAATATGAAAAATGAAAAAAACCTTTGACAAACAATCTCCCAAAGCGCAGCAATTTAAACTGCAGAAAAAAATCGCCCAATAAATACGTTTCCCCTTCAGGCGAATAAAAAATTAAACAAAAAAAACAATAATAATAATAATAAAAAAGAACGAACCGGCGTGAAATCGTTCGACCAATTTATCACGTTTTTTTTTTTTTCGTCCCGCCGGTGTATCGAGACTAGCGTTGAAAAACGAGGGGGCGAAAATGGAAAAACGACAAAAATGTGACACGGATGGAGGGTGGTCGAAGGGGGTGGCAAAAACGTCGGGCTGGGCCCGGAATGAATTTTAATTCGGCACGCGCGAAATAACAAACAAAAGAGAGAAAGAATGGTAGCCGGGCGAAACTTAAACCAAACAGCCACGATTGGAAACACGATCGGAATCGATTCCAGCCGACGAAATCGAAATCGTCGCCTCGATTTCCGGCTGGGATTCGATCATTAAAACGAGACCGCTTATTTTTTCTTTCTGCTCGCGAATTTTTTCGGCGCAGCTTTGTTTTTCCTTCGTCTCGTTCTCCTACCCCTTCTCTTTGCTCGACAATCGAAAACGATTGGATTTTTTGGCAGAGTTCGAGCAGAGGTTCGGTTTGTTCAATCGATCGGTCGAGTGGTTTGTAAGTTAATTAGAAGGTTTAAAAAGGGGATGGTGAATTTTTTTCGTCGTAGTGTCGCGTTTCTATTTTGTTTGATATTAAAGGGCCTACATTAATTACTCGCAATTAGTTGTATAATTCCATTCGACTCGTGTCTACCATCTTTAGTTTATGTTAAGTTTTTTGGAAATAGGAACATGTATTTATCGTTCCTACATGTATAGAAATCTTTCCAAATTTGTTATTAGATCGTAACATGTAAGTGTACCCGGATCTAATCAATTAAATATGATGGCGTGCAGATGGTTTTTCTAAACACTGTACGTAAATGTTAGAATATTAAAATTAATGGCATACGATGAAGGAGAGATTCTCATCTTCAAAACCGTGCATAATACAGTCGATATATATTTACCGAAAAATATGACAGAAGATCGATATCACGGAATCTGACGTTCTCAACCATCCTCAAGAAGACAATTAAATTCTCTAAAACCGCCCCACACTTGGCAACCTCTGAAATTCATTCACTAAAATCCACTTACCCCCGCCATCTTCTCAAATCGCTATTCCATCATCCATCAAACCTCTCATCGCTTTCTCCTCCCAAAAAGTTCGAAAAATCATCCCCATGCTCCGTAACCATCAAAAGACTCGGAACACAGGAAGAACCGTTTCCTCCCTTCGATTCAACTTCCCTCCCCTTACAGAAAAAAGAAAAATATTATCCGTAGTAGTCGACAGGTAGCATCTTCCTTACAAGAACACCAACACTCGTATAAAGGATGAAATCGAACGAGCAAGACGGGAGAACAGAAAGGGGGATGAAAGGGACAGACGCGAACATCGAGGGGACAGCCAGCCTCTGGTTTCTTTACATATGGCGCTTAGCACAGCGCTATAACCATCGATAATCGGCCAATAGGAACGAACCACGGGATCGTACGCTATCGTCGAAACCCCATAGATCCGTAGGCAGCATGACAAATAACTCTCACAATGGGCCATCGTTTCCAGTCGTGCACCCCCTCCGCGGTAGTCGAGCTTCCAGCCCTTCCTCGCGCTATCTCTCTCCCCCTCACTCCCTCTCTCTTTCTCTTTATAGCTCCCCTCTGTTCGTGTTATACACGACCAGATCGGTTCCGGCAATTTTACATTCACGTCAGAGCCGGCGCTGATTTATTATAATGTTTGCCGCTCGCTTTGCCATCCTCCTCTTCCACTGGCTTCGAGCTCGTCCAGCTTTCTGGCCCGTTTCATCCCCTCTTTTTCTTCATTTTCTTCTATGTTTATCTACGTATTGCGAGTTAGGCGTGGTTGGTGAATGTTGGAACGACGTTGGTGTTGGTTGATTATTTGTTAGACTTTGCAGAGGAAAAAGGAACGAGAGCGAGGAACAGGAAGGGTTGCTTGAGCTAGGGACCTGTTCTAGGGGAAATTGCGATGTCGCGAAATTAGTTTTGGCGCGAGGAGCGAGCTCATTGTGCGTTGATTTTGCCACAGTGGATCTACTTTGATTTCTTTTGGCTCCCGCGAATATTTGTCATCGGATGTCTGGTGTTTGAAATGGCAGTTTGCCTGGAAATTAGGGGATGTTCCTGATTTGGGATTTTTCGGATTTTTCTAATAATCGAGGGATTCTCGTAGCCGAGGAGTCTGATAAATACCAAAGAAAGCTCCTTCGTGAGGATTCTATCGTTGAAAAGATATTTGTGAATCTGGGCGATGCTCAGACTCGAAGAAGATTTTTTTCTTGCAAAAAAAGGAGCTGAGGGGTTTCCTGAGAGTGAAGAAATATTTTCTCAATATGTATGTGATTATGTATATGTATATGTATATTTTTATCTATGTCCTTCGCAGAAGATATCCCAATATTTAATTTTGAAACGTCTCACTTTCGTTCCTTTTAAAAAATGTAGCGCATGTTGAAATAATGGAACCTGTCGAAGGAAAATGCAATTTCTTCGACTCTTCGTATCATCGTCACTTGTTTAACAACCAAAAATTTGACAGTTCAAACTGTTTGACTTTCTTGAAATAGCGAGAAACAAAGAGTAACGAATGGAACAAAGCTTCTTTCGGTCTAACAAGGGTTGAAAGGAGTAGGGTGAAACGTTGGTGCGCGGAAAAACGGTATACGGTGTAGGGGATTCCATTTTCCGGGGTTCGATTCGCCATAAAGATTTTTATCCCGCCACTGGAAAATAGAATTGTTATCGGTAAATCGGAGATTGCTGCGTGCCCCATGGCGCCTCTGCCATTTCCAAGGTCAAACGAGCACAGGCTCCTTTTAAGGCCGCCAGCCATCGGTTATTTAATTAGTATCGTTACTGTGAAATGGCGAGCTCGAGGCACGTCCCTTGAATTTATTCACCAGTTCTTATTTTCGACCGAGGATCGTTGCAGTTTATCACCATCCTTTCCTCCTCATCTTCTCGCGGGTGTGGCACTTCTTCGTCAAAAGTTTTTTGGTTACTTGCTTACGACTGACAGAAGTGACGATTGCATTCTTTATTTCTTCCGTTCTTATTCTTGCTGTATCTGTAGATTAAAGATCTGTAGATTAATCTGTAGATTAAGCAGAATTTATATAAAACAATAGCGAGCAGTTATTCCTTTCAAGATATTGTCAGTTTGAAGAAAATTGAAGTCCATCTGGTGAAGTTTTGATTTTCTTACAAAAAAGTTCATAATTTGTAAAGAGTGTAAAACGAATGACAATTCGTAAAAATATCGTCGTTTGGTAAAATTCTAAAGATTTGTATAATGAAAATTATAAACGTTATGGATCTATTTACAAAAAATTCACTTTCGTTAAAAATTCAGGAGCTGTCATATTCTTCTTCTCAACAATTTGTTCTTCCTGGTCCTAGGAAAAATTCCTATCACTGAAGCTTTCCGATAAATATCTTTATGCGTGATATTCTACTCCCCATTTACACTGTAATCCTTTCTAAAGCATTAACGATCTTCCACGAAGAAGTTATCCATTACGAAAGAAAGATTAGCACATGAAAACCAAAAAATAATAGGAAATCAACTCAATATTAATCATCGCAACTACTTCAAACAAACTTTATCGATTCGATACCGATAAAGTGAGTTTCAAGTCGTTCCAATTCCAGTAACTGGACTAATCCAAACGTAAGTTTCACGGCCGTCCTCGACAATCGAAGGAAATCGTTGTAACCGATTTCTGTTGCCGGCCCTGAAGGTTCTGTAACGGAGGCCGTCGATAAACAAGACAATTTCGCGGCAGGACGTCCCCAGGAATCTATAAATCTCTAGCTGACCAGTCGCGATCTATCGATTAGAGAGGCCTGTGGCCGAGGTCTCGCCATCTTGAAAGCGTTTGCCGCCAAACGATTGAATGTGTCCCCAAGCGGACATCCTCTCGTTCTCGATTCTCTTCCAGCGAAAACCCCTCTCACACAGAACACCTCGTTGCGTTTCTTTTCTTCCTCCCTTTCCCCTTGCGCACCCTTTCTCGTCCTGTTACTCGCGATCGCGTCGCGGGAATTGAAAGCATCGACAACCGAAACCCAACGACGATTCTATTTTCCCTTTGGCCAGCGTCCCCGTTACGCTGCTGGTAAAAATCTTTATGGCGAATCGAGTCCGGGAAATGGGATGGCTTATTTCGCTTTTTTTCCCCTCTTCTTTCTTCGTCTTTTTCTGTTATTTTTTCCATGTTGCTTCCGGTGATGGGAGGAAAAAATCAATTTACATGGATTTATAGACGGAGGACCTGTACTGGGGAAAATTTGTGTCACTTTCTTTAGTTTCTTTTGGATCAGCTTCTTTACATTGTTCCGGTTACTGTTGGTTTACCTACTTGGTTGCTCCTAGGAGGTTCTTCGCTAATTTATCGTATAATTTCCATGGATTTGTAGATGGCAGACTCGCGTTATCCGTATCCGCGTGTAGTATCCGTGCCACTTTCTTTAGCTTCTTCTAAATTCGACCAAACTTCTCTCACTTTTTTTAGTTTCCTCTGGATTAACTTCGCTAGATCGTCCTGTGTAAGTGTTGGTTTGTTTTTAAAAGGTTCTTGGCAAATTTATTATACAATTTATACAGCAGATGGTGGACTTGCCATCGGTTAAATCTTTCTTCCTCTTCTTCTTCTTTGGATTCTTCTGGGCAATGTTAGTTCGTCTTTAGAAGATCCTTGGCTAATTCATAGGAGATTGCTTAAAAATACTTAGAACCGTTTATTATATCGTTCGTTTCCAAACCGAATGAAATTTTGGAGAACCGGAGATTACCAGTGAACTACCATTATACGAATTCCATCTGTATGAATTGCTAGCCCCTGAGAGGCTCCTTTCAACAGATTTCCTACACGAAGTTCTTGTTCTATATAGACTGTTAAATGAAGGGAAAATTTTATTGAAAATTTACATTAACGATATTTATTAACACGTCTTGAAATATATAATAAATTGCCAAAAATATATATAGAGTATCAGAAGAAGAAGAAACAGAGAGAAAAGGTAAAGTAAAATTCGATTTGTTCTAACATTAGCTCACTTGCAAGTTTCTAGCTACTGCTGTTTTAACTAGCTGGCCTAACGCATTCTTTTAACCGTTCTACTATTTTCCCAAAGAGATTAAAATTCAAATAGCATAAAAAAATGAGAGCAGAGCGAATAACGCAATAAATTTACATGTTAACCTCCGACGATCGTATTTTTCGTTCCCGATCGGCAATAAATACAGCGAACCGGACCATAAAGTTCTATTTGTCAACGCGATTTTCTCGATGCACCGGCCAGGTTGTCACTCGTAGTATACCTAGTATTCAGGATAGCGTTCTCCTGCTCAGAATCTAGAACACGTTGAGAAACTGCAATGAGGAATCGTGTCACGGTTGAAAGTATCCCGCACATTATTGTTCACGTCACTAACCGGAATATTCTATGAAAATTTGCATTTGGGTCTTTGTTCGAAGAATCCACTGTTTCTCTTATTATTTCATCTCTTTCTAAAATCATTCGTTAGACTTCATTCATAGTTTCACTTCTTTATCGCAATTTACATTCAATAATATTTCTAGTTGAAATTATTCGAACGAAAACGAAAGGACGTCGGACTAAAAAAAGCGAAGAGAGGAGAGGTCCAAGGTATTTCTTTGTCTTTTTTCATTTTTAACTCTTTGAGAAATATTGGAAGTAGAAGAATTTCTAAATAGAACACGCGATTTTATACGATGCTAATAAAGATAAAAAATTCACGATGAAGAGTTTTTACAACGATTAAATATTCAACTGCCTCTTAATACAGAATCTATCATTATCAAGATGAATAATATAGCATGTTCTCGTGCATTTATTTTTCTGTTTCTTAAGACGGTAACTTACGTGTCTAGATAGGAGCATTTTATTATTAACAGAAACAAACAAATTATTTCATATAATATACTTTACAATAATATAAATTACTTTATAAGTATTCGATCATTTTCTCATTTACGTAAAAGGATTATGTGAGAGTTATTAGTATATTTACGCTCTCATATACATGTAGCTGAAATACACCTTTATTCACGGTTCGAACGTAGAACAAAAATAGAAAATCTGCGACATTTGCGACTGTCAAATTATCGCCAGACACATCCTTTTAAATTGCCCCAAATACAATGTCCCTCGCAACAAATACCACGTTGCAGGAATCTTTACCGAAGTATAACTAGCAAATCTTTCTCTGTTAACATTACCATCGGCAAAATAGTACTAACCACGGTACTAACCACGTGCAGTTGATGAGATGTTAAAACCTATACGTATACAGGGTGGTTGGTAACCGGTGGTACAAGCGGAAAAGGGGTGATTCTACGCGAAAAAAGAAGTCGAAAATATAGAATAAAAATTTTTTTTTAATTTTTCCATCGAGACAACGATCTACAGTGAGGTCCGTTATAACGAGACGCGATAAAGTGCACGCGTACCGAGCGAAAATTCAAAGTCGATTTTCTCGAAAACAAAGCCTCAGACGAAAAATTTTTATTCTATATTTTCCACTTCTTTTTTCGCGTAGAATCACCCCCTTTCCGCTTGTACCACCAGTTACCAACCACCCTGTATATATAAAGAAGGAAAAAGTAAAATAAAAATCACTGAAATACCTGCTATAAATTCGCAAAAAATTTTCGAGATACGACGATTACCGTAAATAACTTAGAAAAATCTCATTTTTCTAATAAAACTAAGCGACATTTATGAGAGAAAGAAGAAGAAGTAGAAAGTTTAGGAGGAAATTGGTGCGAATTCGGCGTGGAACGAGGGGTCCGCGATCGGCGATTCAGCGCGGTTTTTGCTCGGTCGGAGGTTCGCGTTGGCTGCATTATTTTATTAGAATGAATTATTCATGCGCGTCACTTACACGGTATGCGCAAGTCGCGCTCCTTCATCAATTCCTCCCCCTCTGGGCCCTGATTCGCAAACCTAGCCAACGGTCAGCTCCTTTTTCATCCTTCTCCTTCTTCTGATCCTTTCTTCGACATTCGGCGAGGAAAAAAGAAGACGTAGAAGAGGACGAAGAAGAAGAAAAAGAAGAAGAGGAAGAAAGGTTTAACTAGTTCACAATAATCCTCTCTTTTCCATTTTGTAGCAGCGCGCAAAAAAATTCTGCCCGAAAGAAACCTCGAGAGCGATGGACCGACCACGAATTCGATTCCCCTTCGGTTTCTTTATGGGATTTTAAGCGGCCACGGTTTTTGCTCGACGTCCGCCGCGGTGCGAGATTTTCGCGCCATTTTGAAACCTGTTGATTGATTCAAACGTTTTACGGTGCGTTCGGCTTCTTGTCACGGGCTTGCGTCACGTTTTGTCGCGTTTTTTCCCACGTTTCCTTTAAAGTTGAGGAACCCTTAATGGAAAGATGGTAGAGACGAGGATTTTAGAATTTCTATGCTGTAAATGATACTACTCCTTTTCGATCTCTTCGTTTTAACGATGGTCTTAAAGTCAATCTTCGTGGGTGCCATATGAGCCTTTGGCCAATTTAACTCCGCTAGCCGTATAGTAATAAACGTCAATAAATCTTGCGATTCGATAGACTTTTTCTGTTCGCAATCCACCGCCAGCTGTAACGTTAATAGAATATTGTCACCCACGAACGATTTCTAACCGATTTGTATATTGAAGGGTTTTATACCCGTAAATAATAACAATAATAGTAGTAACAACAACAATAATAATAATAATAATGAGCAACATATTAATCTATCAAGCCCATAAATATCCGTCGTTGTTGTTCGTTTGGTTGATGCGATAGATGTAATCATTTCCTGATTGTTTTAGCGAACAAATGAAACAGCAGGCAACAGCAAGATATCGTTCGAAAGCGATACTGCATAAATGATAAAGTATTTGTGTCTTTTTCTTTGAGATAACTGAATTCATCGTTTTTCAAATACGTTTGAGCGTTCCCAGTTAAACAAGACGTACTGTACGCGCAAATTTATCGATCACAGTTAGTTCGAAATTTCCAATGGACGAGCAAACATTCGAGAGAATAAAAGAAGATAGTCGAAATGGTGGCACGAGCTGGATTTCGATGGAGAATTTAAGGGGGCAGAGAAAACGAATTGGCCGGATCTCGCGAGAGTAATGGCGGGCTAAACGGTGGCGGCGCCTTGATATGCAAAAGCCGGAATTTCCGCGCGGCCATACGGCGGAAAAGAAAACGAACAGGCTCGTTGGAATGCTATGCAACCGCTATTCCGGTAATAGCCTGCGTTTACATCGCCTCTTTAGCGTCCGCGATTCGTACGGCATTTGTCTTCGATTTTCTTCGCTCGATGCAACGATCTGCACGATCCTTGAGAATCCTTTGATCCTCATCCGCGATCCTCCTTTATTTTTCTCATCTCGCGTAGTCTCGCTTTGACGCTCGAGACGACACATCTCGGATTATTCCGCCGTGTTAATTTAAATAGCCTTATCTGACCAAATTAATTTAGAAATCTTATCTGGTTTGAAAAAATTGACTTTTAACACGTTCGAGATATAAATCGTTGTATCTTCAGTTTCAACGAAGATACGGCTTTCTCGTTTGATATACACATGGATGAACTATTTTTCGGTTTAAATTGTTTCTGAATGTATGTTATTTGTATATCGTAGTCTGTTTAGATTTAGGTTTTCTTCGTACTCCATCTAGTTTGTACCATCTTCCCTTCTGTTATTGGTTGCTTCTATCAAATTTGTCAGAAAATTGAATTTTGGGCTGTTTTAGTCAAACCTGTATCCTTTTATTTTGTTACTGCATTTTACAGTTGTAATATGCTAATGGAAAATTTGGCGATCGTTTTCTTCAAAAAAACAATGAAAAAACAGAAATGAAGAAAATTAATAATTATCTTCCCTGTTTAACAATGATATTTATAAAACAGTTGAAAACAACGATCCTTAAGATCGTTTAAAGAAAAATTGAATTATCCAACCAGATAGTGTATGTCACGATTAATTCGAACAACTATACTTCCACTGAAGATACTTGTTTAATATCAATATGAAAAATTTCCAATAGCTCAACGATATGTCAAACGGCTAATTCGTATCATACACGTTAAAAAGGGAACCTGTTTGCGATTTTAACGTGTCGTCAAATAATCAATCGATATCGTAAACGTTAAAAATAAAAACGTTTGCTTCCGTTGTAAGATCGAAATGGTCGACAAAAGCCAGCACTCGGACTTTAATCCTAATTATCTCGTTTCTCGCGAGTCGAAAAAACGACGTTCCTACAGGTGACACGTCATTGTACGATGCTCTCGTCTGACGATGGAGAAAGGGGATGAGACAAGAGGACAAAACCAGCCAAGACTTTTCGGAATGCCGCGGTTGGGACGCATTCAAATCGTTTCGTCGCTTCGTTTTGCGTGCTCCGACGCGGACGATTGACGTTGAGGGATGACACGATCCTCTTCGACGTGGCCCTCGCACTCTCGACTCTGGTTCCCTTAAATCGAGTTAAAGTGAACGAAGATAGCGTATCTGTCTCTCTAGCGGCGATAGCGGAGAAAGAGACAGAGACGAGACGTGGCGAAAATTTCGAATTTTCTAGAGAAATTGATAGTTTCGTGAAATATAATCGAAGCAATGTTGAAGGAAGCACGAAGAACTGAAGAAGGATGGGAAGTTTCACGACTTACTCTTCTTCTGCTTTCCTAATGTTAACTTATTGCCAGTAGTATCAACCAATGATACTTATTTTAGTAATATTAGTAGATTCTAGAGATTGAAAAGGACGGTAGATTTGAAGATTACTTTTATTTTTATTATTTATGTTATTAAATACAGCAAATAGATACCTGTACTGTATGTACGATATCAAGTTGTAGTATATCACGGTTAATTAATAAATAACAATTATGTTAATAAATTTCGAGAGTTGTAACTATCAATGAATACGACCAGCTTCAAAATGGAAACTTTTTATCCAAATAAAAATCAACCGAGTCGATATATATCGAAAATATATATTTTCTTCTACAATTCGACAAGTTTCAATCGATTTCAACTTTGTGAAAACGTTGCAGCTTCACCGTCATAGCCATTTGACAATAAACTTTTCACCTCGAATCAAGAAATACGGATACATAGATTTTGAAAATTAATTTTCTACGCGACACATCAATTGGCAATTTCGAAATAATCAAATATTTTGAAAAATCGTGCGTTTCAGGATTAATTTAGCGTTTAATTCATCGTTTGAATATTTTCTCAACAACGAATAACGAGGAAATAATCAATCACGAAGGGACCATCGGCGATATTAAAGTGTTATTTGAAATAGATTTCGGGGATAACGAGTTAGCCCGGTAATTCGATGAAAATTGAAGCGGAGGAAAGCTGTACTTAAACGTTTTATTTTTTCTTTTTTCGTCGAGCGGAGAAAATTCGGGGTGTTGCGTGTAATGATGTAATAAAAAATGAAATAACGGGAGTAATGACAATGAGATAAAAAGTAAACGATTTAACGGACGAAGATCGAGTAATTTCGTTTCGAAGATAAATGTATTAAGACGAAGGAAATGGAAGCTCTTGGCGAAGTGCCTTTTTAATAACGCGCACGATTATTACGTCCAAGATTAATGGAACACCGAAAAGAGAGAAGAACGAGCGGGTAATTGTAGCGTGCGGTGATGCAGTTTCTCTGGAAGGAGCGTTCCCTGAATGCACTTAAACGAAGTTAAATATCACTCGGTGAAGACGTAAACCAATGGCGGCCGAAATGATCAACGGTAGAGGGAGACCGAAGAAACCTCCCTGCATAATAACTATGCTATCTTTAACAACTGGCTACTAAGGGATTGAATCAAGATGAAATGGCAACAAACACTTCTTATTACGAATTTTTACGACTTTTAGGTTGATGGGAAGGTGGAAGTTGTGTACGAATTTTGGATGATTTTTACATCTTTTGGAATTTAATTCTCGTGGCAAATCTCTTTACTACTAAAAGAGAGAGAGAGAGAGAGAGAGAGAGAGAGAGAGAGAGAGAGAAGAGAAATGAAAAAGACGAGGAAGCAGAGGACACGAGAAAATATGATTAAAATGAAAAGAAGTATTTGGTATTGGTGAATTTCTAGCATTGTCAGAGAATGACGAAATAAAAATCGTGTATCGATAAATTTGGAAGAAAATAAAATTCGTAAGAAGAAGAACGAGGCTGGAAATTAATAACAAGGAAATAAAATGTATACATCGTGAGTTCGTACGTGAGTAAAGCTTGTAAGGAATTTGTTTCATAAGGAATGTACTTTCTACCAGAGAAGAGAAGAAAAATAAATAAATAAATTCAAAGGATTAAGAGGAGGAAACATCGTATTGGAAATCTACAAGCTTCCAAAATGAATAAACAAATTTTTTTAAATTGCATATATCATCGATCCGTAAGATAGTAAAATTTCATTCAATTTTGCTTCGTTAGAAAGTCTGTTTTCTATTGGAGAACCGAGAAGAACAAAATTATAGCAAAAAGGGAAAGAGAGACGAGACAAAGCGAGACGAAGAAAGAGGACGAGAGTTGAGGCCGAAAGAGGGATTAGCAAAATAGAAAGAAAAATGTGAAGAGGCCGAAGGAAGCAACGAACGAAGAACAGCATCGTCGACATTTTTACCGGCTGTTTTCGTTGGTTTTGCGAATTCGTTCGCGCGATCGTGCCAGGAATGACATCACGGCCTCGTACGAGCTACACCTAAGAAACACTGGAATGCCCACGAACCTGCACAGGTGTTCCTCTTCTGAATGGTTCTCAGGTCGGAACGGAAAAACGAGACACGCAAGAAAAGTTCCCTTCGATTCTTCCCTCCTCTTACGATCCTTCTTTCAAGTAACACTGTGAATCGGTGAACGCCGATGACAACGTTGTTTACCAATTCTCATGACGATTTCAAGCTTCTGCTCGGGAAGTTATACGATTCTTACGTAGTCAGGAAGATTTGGATATATTTATTTGGTAATTAAATTGATTTATCGTTTTGAAGAGCTAAAAGGTTTAAGCGTTTTGTAGATTTGAACGGATCTAACGTTTTAATAGTTTCTTTTAAGGCTGAAGATGATGAGACTATAGGATTGATGATTTAATTTCTTGTTGAGTTAGTTGTAAATTGTAGTTCTCTAACTATTTTCGTTTTTTAATAGAAGGATGAGTTGAAATTATTGGTAAGAGAGAAATCCAGATTTAATACAAGCTTTCATTAGATACTAGTTTACATTTGATGAAATCACTATAACACTGACAATTCGATCAATTTTCTCAACTCTACTCTTCGACGTCTCGATCAACTCTAACTCTCGCAACACACTCACTTTTCGACTCGCATACTCTGACCTCTCGGTCATCCCTCCTTGAAATACGAAAACGTCCTTCAGCTCTAACGTTGTTTGTTGTTTTTCTCATATCTCTGTAAGAACTAAGTCACTTTAGTCACATAGGCGCTCTTAAATGTAAACAAACCACAGAAGGACGACGTACAGGGTCTTTTTTATCTTCAATCGATCTCTAATTCAAATTACTTTACGATATTACATTACTGTAAGATAAAAAAAATTACATAAGATAAAAAAAAACGAGACCTAAGAAATCTGCATATTTTGTTTTACCCTTAAAGTATCATAAAAAGTCAGTTTCGATATTTTCTATAGTTTTGTATATCTCATATACAATTTTACATATTTAAGTTTCTCATAATTACTATTATCATCTATTTATTTGCAATCCCTGCCTCCTTTTTACATCTTTTCTTCTTTTTAGCGTTACATCTCTATTTACAATTATCTTATATTATGTGCTCTATTCTCACCACAAAACCACAGTCACCACAAGAACAATCACTGAATTAGAATTAAAAGTAAAGGTAAGCTCAACATGTATCTCAACTCAATTTGAACTCAAACATAACATAATCATATTTTAGACCTATTCCTTTTGGTGCAACGTATTCCAATTCTAATTCTAACTCTATTCCATTCTATTTTCATCTTAAATATCCCATTAATACTCTTAACTCCTAGAATTTCCCTAATAACATTAATTCAATTGTATGAAAAATCCTATGAAACAAAAATATCGTCACAAAACTTCCCACCCTCTAATCAACCCAGCTTCCATCTTCCACGTACGAAAATCCAGGCGATCTAGGCACCTGTACCTAGATCTATAGATCTATATATATCTACGTCTCGCCGCTACCAAAATCTCCAGCACAAGATCAACGATCTCGCTAAATTCGACGCACGAAACGTCAAAGCAACAAGCAGGATCCCCCAGAGGCAGCGTGGTCCGTTCCTTTCCGGTCCTCACAGACTCTGAGCGTCGCAGGAGCGTCCTGGAGAAACGGTCGAAAGCGCGGCAACACGGTCCGAACACGAGCAAAAGACGAGCCACTCCAAAAGCAGCGAAAGCAGAAAGAGAAGAAACTCTCAGGGACTCGTCCCTGACGCACAAATACGGCAATAGAGGGACAGCAATTTGCTTGTAGCAGGGTCGAGATGTACGTTTCCGCCGCGGAGCTGGTCGGTTTCGCGCGTTTAACGTCCCAACGATCGCGAGATTAGACGGTGGGGATCGCTCGTTAGCCGAGCGAAAGAAACAAGAAAGAGATCGAGAGAGAGGAGATCCCTCGTGAATATTCTTGGTGCGGTTCGAACGTGCTGCTAACGAGCGTGCGACACGCACCGGTCTTGTTCCGACGTTGGACGCGCGCGACCGATCCAATGGCGACCGAATGCATCGCGTTTGCCGCCCTTTGTGTCCCGATCCGCGATTACCTCGACTCTGTCCAACCTAATTTGCTGAATTTTAGATCGCAGCAAGATTGCGGAGTATTAAATTTTCTCCTTCTTTTTGTCTTGTTCTCGGAAGTTCGAACATTGTAGCTTTCAGAGCTATCATGGATCGGTTATTTGTGCAAAGCAGAGTGTTGAAAAATGATTGGATTTCTTTAAAATTGAAAAATCCTTGCAGCATATTTACAAGCATCTTTGAAGAATCGAAGTATGTGATGGCAAGTTGAAGATAACGAATGCAGACATGAAAAAGTGGCAACAGTCGAATTTACCTCTGTATTACATCAAACTACCTACATCTGACATCAATCCTTTACAGAAATTTACCTAACGTAGCCTTAAATATCTTCAAACATAAACTAATCACCTAAAATTATCCACAAAGAATACACGTAACTAGGCTGTCTCCTAGAAGAGACATCATCTTTGATAATCCACTGTGTCTTCTGTTCTTGAGTGGGTGCAGCCGGTCCCATAAGAATGTTCATCATCAAATTTCGCATCAATCATTTTTAAACATCTTCCTTACAGTGCTCTAAATATCTCTAAACACAAACTCTCTTCAACAATCAAAACCATCCAAAATCTTTTACCAGATAATTGGCTTTCCTCTCAGAGGAGAGATGATCTTCTGTAATTCACAGTTCTTTTCTGCAGTGGGTGTACGGGTCGGTCATAATCATTAGCAAGAGAAGGAAGAGACTTAAAGGGCTGCGACGAGTGAACATAGCGATCCTCGTACCGGCTTGCAGGAGAAAGGTACGAAACGATAGAGAGATAGAAGCGTCGGCCGTCGGCGAAGGCGCGGAGAGGCTCGTAATCCCCCGTCCCCGGCCGTTTTGCACGGCTTTATGGTGTTTCTTGCGCCTGCTGGCATCGCCGCTAACAGGCGTCACTAATGCACGGAGGCGGCCTCGCTGTTTCCAACGCCGGTAACCCCGTGCCCGGCCACCTGTCTCCTCTGCGGTAATTCACTGAATCGCTTCATCTCCACGCTGGAGAACACAGCAACATGGCGCTGGTCACGTTTCCGTTTTGCATCGCTTTTTGGCTATCGTTCAACAAAGATTCGTTAGGTGATTTCTAAAGATTAGGAAGACAATTTAATTTCTATGTGCTGAATTTGTTCAGAGATGGTTTCATATGGTTCGTGGTTATTGTTGAGTAGGTTTATCGAATTGTGCGTGGATCTTAAGTATTTATCGTGGAACATTTTTCGTATCAATCGATGAAATCTTCGTATTATATAACATTTTCTATTAATCCTGGGTATTGTTCGGCAAGGATTCGTTGGTTTGGTAATATATATGGAGATCGGTGATTCCAAAATTTCAGGAAAATAATTTACCGTATAGGTGATGAATTCGTGAATGGTTTGCGGTTATCGTTGAGTAGGTGCATCGAGTTGTAAGTAAAATTTGCATACTACTTATGCGTCTAAAATATCCCAATAAGGAAGCAAGCAAAGAATGCTATACAAGATATTTTTTGAGATGCAGTTGTATAGTTTGAGAGAGCAACGAAGAATAGGAACACGTAATTGTGTCGAAGATGGAGTTATAATTAGTTTCTGCACGGTTGTTCGCTAAAGTTGGGAAAGTTCAAAATGGAACAAGATATAAGCTCGTTGAATAGATGGTAAACAGGTTGCGGCTATGTTAATCATGTTTTCAGAAACTTATAGAATCCATACGACCTGGCAAACACTTGAATTTACGCAAAGGAACTTTCTTTTAAACCAAACAGCAAATTAAACAGTGACATGAAAAACGAGATACAATTGACGTACGACCACAAATGCAAAAGCAGGCACAGGTGCAGTTAAAGTACGATATTTTTCTGACAAGAGTAAAATAAAGCAATTGATAGCGTAGATGCCATTAAAGTGCAGTTACAAGTGCAAATACATCAGTAGCTATATTATAAGTAGGTTGTAAGCAATAAATCTTCTGCCGTGCATATATCTACACATAATGTATAAACACATGCAATTTCAAATGGAATTACTCAACCATATCTGCGCACGCAACTTCAAATGCAATTGCTTAACTATATCTACACACGCAACTTCAAACGCAATTACCGAAGCATCATATATTTGCACACGCAACTTCAGCTGCAATTACTGAAACATATTTACAAACGTAACATCACCTACAATTATTCGAATGATGAACTTTCCCTGCAATGGCTCAGCTATAACTACATACACAGGAAACCTCAAATTTATAGACTGAAATGCAACTGCATTCAGAAACGTACACGTAAATTAGAGCGCAACCACGTTTCAGAAACGTAAATGTGAGTTAGAACTCAAGAAGAATTTAGTAAAAACTAATTTTCTATTAAACGGACTAATCTTTGGGCAAAGTAACTTCGATTACGATAAAACTGAAGCGTGCGAGGTAAAACGCAACTGCATCCATAAATACGAAAACGTACCACTAAATCACAATCGCATTTAGAAACTCGATCGTAAGCCAGAATACAACTACGCTTTCAATTGCGATATCTACGCTGCGTCTTTCATTCGACAGCCCCACGACTCGCTATACTTTCGTCCAAATTTTCAATTTGTATCCAAAAGACAGAGAATTTTATCCGAAAGTACGTCAGTGCGAAGAATTGGACGAACACTGGCAAGAAAATCGCGAAACTGGTGCGAAGATACCTCGACAAGAAACGAAGAGAAACGGGGGTGGTGCAAAGTGGGTCCGGTTCATGGGGGCTGATGATAACATCAGTCTTTCCCCATTCCCTGCTCGATTTCTACGCGGAGATGCCACGGACCGTTCCGTGTCCCTCTTCATGTAATTTGTATCGAAACATCGCGGCGGGGAGAAGCTGTCGGCTTTCGGGCAAAGAGCGATCGCGACGCGACGTCGAAACCTGGGGAATCTGAAGAAACGTTGGAAGGAGGAAGTGGTTTCGTCTTGGAATTCTGAAAGGGGATGAGTGCGCAGGCGGAACCTTTTGTTCCCGCGGAACCGGCCCCCTCCTCACTCCTATGGAAATTCCCTTGGGGTGGACCGAAACCACTTTCGTACTTCGGACGCACTTTGGGGGTGTGTGTACCGGTTCTCCGCGAGCGGAGACCAGCGCAAGTTTTGTGACTTTACGAGCTGGATTCTTGGAAATATTTAGAGTTTTAAAATGGACAGCTGTGGGATTGGCGGAGAATTGTTGGGTGGAAAGTGCAGGTGTTCGTTTCTTTCCGGAGTTCGATATGATTTTTTGATGATTTAGGGGAAGCTTCAAATTTGTTATTAGGAATTCATTTGATGAAATTAGATTGAAATTTATGCTATTTGGTTTCATGGGGCGTTTGGTAGGATTTGTCGACGTATGTAATGTAAGAGAATTTTTAGATTTATTAATGGGTTTTGAAATTTTCATTAAATTAGATATTTTTGAACCTTATGTATATATAATAGAGAATGGTTATTTGTTTTCTTAAGACATTTGGTCTTAATTTATTTCTAAATTTTATAGAATTTCTGGATTTATTATTAGGATTTCATTTCGTCGAATTAGTTATCTTTGTACGTACATGGCAAAATTTTTGCTTTTACCATTGGTATTCATTTTGTCAAATTACATACTTGTGTATTTTGTATACACATTGGCTGACCAAAATTTTTCGACAAACGTAGAACCCTACTGAAATCTAGTACGATATACTATAACCAAATGCAACTAGATGCAACCGAATACAACTTAAACAACCGCGTTCACCTACTTCACGATATTCAACAGACGCGATCTATTTTGAAAAGCGGGCGAAACGCGGCGTCTTTTGTTCCCGTAAGGGGCCATGCGGGTCCTACGAGGGCCCCATGGCCCCCCCC